TTGAGCCTTTACCATGTTTGTTTTAAATTCTCTAACATCTGGTAATCTCTGATTTCTCATAAATTGCCCTCTTGATTACTTTGTTTCTTGGCAGTAGATTTTTTTTCTACCCTTGTGAATCAGCCGTTTTAATTAATCTAGCTAATGGTAGAGAAATAAACACTGCAGGTTGATAATATTGAGATTTGGAGGTGAACACATCTATCTGCTAGAGCTGAGCTAGATTTGTATTTTTTCGTTAGGACCACTTTCAATGCACCATTGGTGTGAAAACGGTAGCAGGAAAAGTCAAGATATACTTTTTCAAGCAAAAATGCATCATGACTTTTCCGACAACCGAGTTAGTCCCTTAATGTTGCTTTTGTGCTTAGTTTTGAATCTGTGTATTGGCAAATTTTTCTAAGTGTTCTCGTTCATCCTCAGTTTTATACCTTCTGTGCTCTTATGTTTTGGACCAGATATCTCACTAGGTTCTTTTCCCTCTTCAAAAGTAGATTACTATAGGTTGTTAGTCATTGATTGTTAATGTGGCCAAGAGAATAGGATACTAGGAGAAGATGTATTTGTTTTGGGCCTGGTCAGTCCTCACCTGCTGGGTTGCTATTTATAATTAGTGCCTCATTTTCAGTATTTTTCTTAAAAGTTTTTTTTTTAGTTGTTAACTTTGTTTTCTAGTACAGTCAGTAGGTAGCAGTATTCACAAGATGATTCTGTTAGTCATTGTTCATCATCTTGCTTTCATGAGTAGATTTTTGTTAGTTGAATGATCTCTCTTCCCCCTTCCATTTCCTTTTTATTAATTTATTTTTTAATGTTGACACGATTTCATATGTTCTAAACTTTAGGTGTGGGATTTCTTTGAAGTTTGCATTAAAGTTGTATTCTTGCAAAGAGGTTTATGAAAATTACGTATATACATTATCATTCTTGTTGAAATTTACTAATGTGCTATTGGTGTTATAAATTCAAACTATAGCCCTGTACTAGGGATAGCTTACTTTTGAATTCTCAGCGAAATCAGGTTTTTGGTTTGGTTTCTTTTTCTCTATTCTTTTCTCAGTGCCACACAAGTTTCATGTCACCACCTGCAATGTGGTCTTATAACATGCTTATCTCTTAAAATGAGGGGATAACTTGAGTAAGTCCCCTTTTGGAGTCTCCTCTTAGGGCATATTCTCTTTTTTTTTTTTTTAGATTTATTTATTTATTCATATAAGAGCTGGGGTACAGGCCAGAGATGCGGAGGGTGAGAGGATTCACCAGAGGCAGAACAGGCAGATCAACGAAGTACACTGCTGAGGGGAGCAGCAGGCGGGTCAGGAGAGGTCTGCCACACCATGTGGTCACCTCCGGGGCAGGTAGGAATTGAACTCATGCGAAAGTGACTTAAGCTTCTTTGTGCTGTGCTTTAACCCGCTGCGCCACCATGGAGGGCCCATATTCTCTTATTTTATATCCCTTTTCGCTCGCTCTCTCCCTAAACTATCAAAGTGGAAGGACTGGTCTCTACACTTGAGAAATTTTTAAATAAACAAGAAAACTGGGCCTTCCCTGATGGTGGAGCAGGTTAAAGCACAGAACTATGAAGCTATCTGAGACCACTGCAGCATGAGTTTGATCCCTCACCAGGGACATGACCCATATGGTGTGGCATGACCTCTTCAGAAATGCCCACTGCTCCCCTCAGCAATGTATTTCAGTAGATCCACTTGGTCTGCCCCCCACTCTGTCTCTGGTGGATTCTCTCACCCCCCCCCCACCTCTGGCCTTTACTCCAGTTCTTGTAGGCATAAATAAATAAATCATAGAGAAAAAAAAAAAAAACAGGAAACTTGCTTATAACCTACTTCCTAGTAATCTTGCTTTCATTTCATTTTTATGGGGTTCTCGTGCCATTTCAGTTTGTGTTTTCAAAGTTTAATTTTTTTAATTTACATTTTAGTTGTACTCAGAAGGAACTTTGTTAGGGGTACTGAAAAAAATTTTTTTAATAAGGATCTATTTTTTTTTTTAACTTTTTAAAGATTTATTTACTCATTCATATAGAACTGGGGTACAGGCCAGAGATGTGGAGGGTGAGAGGATTCACCAGAGACAGAGCTGGAGCAGAACAGGCAGATCAACGAAGTACACTGCTGAGGGGAGCAGCGGGCGGGTCAGGAGAGGTCTGCCTGGCCATATGTATCTCCTCCGGGGCAGGCGGGAATCGAACTCATGCAGAGGTGGCTTTAACTTCTTAGTACTATCCTTTAACCCGCTGCGCCACCAGGGAGGGCCATCTGAAACTTTTTTTTTTTTGGTACTCTTTCCAAAAATTTGAAGCTTAGGAACTCCTATTTACTTTTACTTCTACTTTGAAAAGATTTTATTGCTTAAATTTCGACCTTTGTTCAATAAATTACATATACTAAAAGATCTAAGAATTATATGACATTATACTTTTACCTAAAGTAATGATCTAGTTCATTCCTGAGAAAAGGTGTTATGAAGGAGATAAACATTTTAATCACATATGAATTTTAAGTTCTTCCTTGTCCTGGGGTAACTACTTAAGCTTTGAGTACCGTCTATTAAGTACCATCTATTAAGGCAGAAGAACAGCTATGCAACAATGTCAAAGTGAGCCTGGGATGATTTAATTTTCCTGATGCGTGGCCTTGTATAATGATTCAGTAAATACCATAGTTTCTTTTGTATTTTTCAGAAGAGGAAGTTGTATCTCAAAAAGTAACATATACATGCTATTTACACAAAATTCTGTAGTTGTCTCTTCTGAATTTTACTTCTCAGAAGAGTAATATTCAGTACCTTTCTTGGCTTATCTGTGTATTTCTTAAGTACCTTATCCTTATTTCCAAGTAGTTAGCATATTGACAGATTTTCTGAATGTTAAGTAGACAAAGGTGAATATAGTACATTTCCTGTCTTAGGTAGCTTGTTAGTGAGGTAGGGTTATTTAATAAGGATGGTAATAATACTTGTGTTAGAAAGAATAGTACCTACCTGACTGGCACAGAGGAAGGGATCAGTTGGAGTAGGTAATGAAGTTTGATTAGGAGACTAAGAGGTTTGAAAAGGGATTGACCTTCTAGGTAGAAATAACAGCAGCTCTATATACCATGGTATGAAAGTGGCAGGAAAGAGCATGTCTTGTTTATGAAAAGTGCGGGTTTTCTGTACATAATATGCCAGTTGCAGCCTGAAGAGTAGACTTTCCCTGGCAGTTTACCAGTGTCTTAAATAAATGGTAGTTTTTCAGCATGTAAAGATAGAATGGTGTGAGATATTACAAGCACAGGATAATTTCAGTAATGTTACTTAGCAAAATACATTATTTAAAAGCATGTAGGAGAACCTCCCTGTGGCTCAAGAAGTTAAGTCTCAGCACCATGAAGCTATCAGCAGCCACTGTAGCTAACTCACATGGCACAGCAGACTTTTGTGCCCACTCCCATTCTCCCCTCATCACTGTACTTCAGTAACCCACCTGTTCTGTTTCCCACTCATTTTCTGGTGAACCTTCTCACCCTCTACACTTCTAGCCTATACCTCAGTTCTTGTATGCATAAATAAATAAATCTTTTTTAAAAAATAAAATAAATCCATGTAGGAATACATAAGTAAACACACTACCTTTGAACTCTCACATCTAAAACAACAGCTTACACCAATTCTTTCTGAGAAATCATCAGGAAATTTTGTATAGCTCACTAGCACTTTTTTGTGAGAGGGCTTTTTATAGGTGGGAGGTAAAGTAGTTTTTCTAGGTTTATGCATAAAAGATACAGTAATAAAGATATCTTAGTAGTAAAGCTTATGTGGCTTTTAATAGCAAAGTTTACTAGTAGTAGTTTCAAATATGATAAGCATCAAAGTTCCATTACAACATTTTGAATGCAGACTTGGTGTAAAGATGTGACTTCACATACTGGACTTGGGAACCAGTGTGTCTGAAATAGCCAGTTCATTTATTGCTATAATTTAGATTTGGGGTTATTGAGATTTGAATAAGGGGAGGTGGTAAGGGGGATGAAAGAAGAAACATTGTAAGAAGGATTTATAAAAAATAATTGACAAATTCTGGCAGTAATTGAAAATAAGGTTTGGAAAACAGGACGTTGGGAATGTTGATAAAATGTACTTGGATGACTAGAAAATTCTCCATACTAACAAGAGAATGTATAAGTGGAAAAAGTGGTGGAAAACAAGTTATTTGTTGTTTATTGGATATTAGGTTAAAAGTACATGTGTATTTTAGAACATCAAATTGCCTTGTAAAAAGAATTACGCTGTGGGTGGTGATTAGATAGGCAATGTGGTCTTTGTATCTGTAACAGAAGCTTTGGAGACAGACTTAAGTTCCAAATTGCCTTTGTAAAGTGGAAAAGTTACTAATACCTGTTAATTTTACTTTGTTCATCTATAAATTAGAGGTATTAATACCTGCTTCAGGGCTGTTAGGTAAACTAAAGAGTATAGTATATACTCTTCATATGCAGAATGGCCTGTTAAGTTTTCAATAAATGTTAGTTTCCTTTCTTTATTATTGTTGACTATTGCCATATGTTAAGACGGACCCCAAAGAATAAGCACGAAGCATTTTGTTTTACTGTTTAGCAATTCACTGAAATCTTAAGTGATTTTGTACTAACTAAAATATATTTATAATTAGGCAGTTTGTAATGAGACTACTTAAGAAATTTTAATTGTTGAATGTGTAGGTGTAGTTTTCATTTCTGCTAAGACTTTACTTACAGGTTATGTGTGTATGCAAGCAAGAGAGTCTGCTTCCTGGAAGGAAACTGTGGTCTTCTAATCTTTATAATAATGCACCTTTGTCTTTTTTAACTCATGAGTATTGTCTTGTACACACACTTTTCTTAAGGCGGTTTCTTGTAAGAAGTAAATGAAGCCTCCTTATGAACCTGTTAAGACTCCATAGACTGTCAGTAACATGGAAAAATTGGATATTTAATCAGGAATGTGAACATGTATTTCAGGTAGAGAATGCAAAAGATAATGAAGACAGTATTCTTCAAAGAGAAATTCCTGCTAGACAGTCTCGACGAAGATTTCGGAAAATTAATTATAAAGGAGAGCGCCAAACTATTACTGATGATGTGGACATAAACAACTATTATTCTGTGAGTATATTTTAGGATCATTTCATAGATCTAATATATAATATCTGTACTTTACATATATATTAGTATTTCTATTTGGTTGAGTGTATGGAAATATTCTTACTAGTTGAAGCTTTGTTTTTGCTTAAATAATTTACCATATAGTTTAAGATATTTGTGGTCTTTCTTGCCTGTTATTGCCTAACTGTAGTATAGATTGAACTCCTGTGTGAGAATTTCGTAACAGTCTCACCGAGAGCAATTTTTTCCCTTATACACTCTAAGATACACAAGGAAATCTTGATTGTGGGAACAGTGTGTTAGTTCAGAAATGTTTAAGTGTTAAAGGTATGTTTTCGCTTACAAATAATGAGAAAGAAGTAGTAGATGAAATAAGTTTTGTAATCCTAGAACAGAGATAAGCTGTTTCTTCAGAAGTTTTCATTTCTGCAATAGTAGATAACTGCATTTTGTAATGTAAAGAAGCTCAATCAAGAAATAAGGCTAATCTAATGAGAATAAAACCAAGTATAGTCTGTTGGTTTTTAGAGTAGTCACGATCTTTTAAAGTATGAAAACAGTTCATTTCGAGATTAATTGTAGCAAAATTCCTGGAGTTATGTTTAGTTCTTTGGTTGTCAGAAAAAAAATTTACTCATTTCATGTTAGGAATAAAGAAGTTAATTTAGGGAGTTGTTTATACTGGACGTAGTGTTAGATTTAAAGCAGTTCTAAGAACTTAAAGTCAACGTTTGCTTTATTTTATTAATTCACCACATTCTACTTCAGACAAGCAATACATGAAATAGTCTTGATGGGTTTTTTTTTTTTTTTTTCGTTTTTTAAACCACATCCTGAGCCACATAAGGTTCAGTTCTTGTTACTATTTAATAATTTTTATGTTTCCACCATAACTAATTAAACTAATTTTTTTTCTTGTTACACAAGTAAATTAAAATTGGTTATTCCCACCACCCATTAATGTAACCATTGGTGGTATGTTGTATCTTCTTGAATAAAGCTTTTTTCCAGTGTGTGAATAAATTGGTACACTTTAGGCTAAGTTTTAAAAGTTTAGTTGTTTGAATTGTTTTGTACCTTTTTTTTTTTTACGATTATTTATATATGCAGAACTGGGGTACAGGCCAGAGGTATGGCAGTGAGAGGATACACCAGAGACAGAGTGGGGAACAGAACAGGCAGATGTCCTGAAATACATTGCTGCAGGTGGATCAGGAGAGGTCTTACATTTGCTGCTACTTGAAATAATAAGATTTTTTTTTTCCCATAAAGGATATATTGCAGGGAACTTAGAAAATACTATAGTAATTGGTTTTCACTTTTTCTTTTTAAAGATTTATTTATGCATAAAAGATGTATGGGGGCGGTGAAAGGATTCACCAGAAACAGAGTGGGAACAGAGCAGGCAGATTGAAATACACTGCTGAGAGGAGCAGTAGGTAGGACAGGAGAGGTCTGCCATGTGGGTTACCTCTTGGTCGGGGATTGAACTCATGCTGTACTGAGATAGTTTCATAATGCTGTGCTTTAACTCATTGCACCACCAGGGAGGGCCTGGTTTTCACTTTTTTAAAAAAAGATTATTTGTTCATACAAGAACTTTGGAGGAGGGTAAACCAGAGATGTGGGAGGGTAAGATGATTCACCAGAGAGCATGGGAAGCAGAACAAGTGGCTCTACTGAAATACTGAAACAGGGGAGGTCTGCTGCACCTGTTAAGTTAGCTCTCTGGCCAGGGATGCTGTAGTGACTGGCAATAACTTAACAGCGTTGTGTCTTTTAACTCCTCTGCTACCAGGGAGGGTTCTAGAGGTTTTTACTTTTTTTTTTTTTTTTTTTTTTTTAAAGATTTATTTATTTATTCATACAGAACTGGGGTACAGGCCAGAGATGCGGAGGGTGAGAGGATTCACCAGAGACAGAGTGGGTGCAGAACAGGCAGATCGATGAAATACACTGCTGAGGGTAGCAGCGGGCGGGTCAGGAGAGGTCTGCCACACCATGTGGTCACCTCCGGGGCAGGCGGGAATCGAACTCATGCGGAAGTGGCTTCAGATTCTCAGTGCTGTGCTTTAACCCACTGCGCCACCAGGGAGGGCCTAGAGGTTTTTACTTTTAACTTATATCACCAGTTATGTAAAACTTAGGTATCAGGCAAAATTATTAATAGCACAGTTGTCTGGGTAATTTTGATATATTGACAGTTGGTCTGGGTAATGTTGGTATATAGCAAAAATTCTATTTAATATTTGAGATGTTATGAAGTTGAGAGTTAGTATTATGGCTGCTATAAAATTCTTTATTTCATTGTTCTATTAGCAATCAGGGAATGATCAGGAGAAATAATTCTTTTAGATAGCAGTAGAAAATTCAGTTTTGTTTTTCATTTGCAAACCTCCAATTCTTGCTAGGTCAAAATTCTTAAAATGTGTATAGAATATTTTGCTACTGTTTATTATTAGTACACAATAATCTGCTTTAATTTTAATATAAACATGCTTAGAACAATTGAAAAAGATAATTTATTCCTATGAAATAGTCATAATTATTATATACATTACTTTGTATGAAGATCTTCGAGAACCATAATCTTAATGTCAGAGTCTTTTAATTTTGAAAAGAATATTTTTATGACATTTTTGAAACTCCTCTCAGTATTCCTTTCAGAGCTTGCTGAAAATTTAAATGTCTAAATATTTTATTTTTTTTTCAGAGCTTTGGTTTTTGAAAAAGGTATATTTGATATTTAGAAATAAAATAGTAAAAATGTGACTGGAAGCAATAACCATGGATTTGGTGTTATATTTTAATTTATAAGGATAAATTATATTTGGTCATTCTGCTAACTAAAATTAAAATGTGTTTGTAACACATAGTTGGTGTTAATCTAGGAACCCTGATTCAGAGCTCCCACAACTCTGTATTGAGAGAGATAAAGATTGTCACTTGTTGTCTTAATGAGGTGACTTCTGGGAAACATCCACTGGTTGCTGCTGATTGGCAGTGGGGCCAACCATGTGGTTAGAACATTTCAACTTTAGCCTCAGCCACTAATATGGTGGGGTTTGGAGGGGAGGGAATGGAGAAGTGCTGGAGACTGGATCAATTGCATATAATCAGTGATCATCGTGACTGTCTGAATCCTCTATAGAAACTAAAAAGGATTAAGATTTGGAAAGCCTCCAGGTTGGTGAATTTGTGGAGTGGAGAATGACATACTCAGAGTGTATCACCTCTGTCCAGTCTCCCTATATCTTGCATGTCTTCCATATGCTGTTCCTGAGTTATCCTTTCATAACAAACCATTTATCTATTAAGTAAAATGTTTCTCTGAGTTCTGTGTGCCACCATCAAATTAATTGCACCCACAAGATCTCTGATTTTGTATAGCTAGTGAGTCAAAAGTGCACTTAATTTGGACTTTCATCTGATACATAAAGTCCTAGGAGGCATTCTGGGGTTCTCCATTCTGTAGCCAGTGGACCAGAAGCACCTGATTTTAGGATTGGTATGTGAAGTGTAAGAGTTAGGATTGTTCTGTATTATTGAACCACTAACCTGTGCAGTCTGACCCTAGATCCAGGCAGATAGTGTCAGAATTGAATTAAAATCCTGGACACCCAACTGGTTTCATGAGCATTGCTTGGTGGTGGAGTAGGAAAAGCACACATACACATTTACATGTTCAGAAATTCAAAATAGGATGGATATTTAAGCAAAGTGGAAATAACCTAGCATTTACATGAGTCCTCTGTCCTGAATCCTTTCGCTTTGTGATTGGGCCATTTCATTTAATTGCTGAAGTTCTTGGAACCTGTTTTCACACTCATAGCCCATCCAGTCAGTTACAGCTGTAGATTCTGCCTCTCAAATATTTCAAAATTTATGCCCTCCACTCAGCTTCCCGATGTCATTATCTTACTATTCACTGTTATTCTTCTAGAACTGTTGTAATAGTATCTTCCACACTCCCCCAGCCAACTGTCACTGTAAAAAGCAGCATTTTGTTTTCATTCCAAGAAATTATGGAGAGTTTTTAATTGATGAGTATTATCTAATCTCTGTTCAAATGTAACTGCTTAATCACTTTATTTAATTTAAAGTTTGCTTTTCTCTTTCTCTGGTTTCCCTATTGCTAGCCCTGTTCCCTACATCTTAAATAATTTACATGTAGGTCACTGTGTGTAATTAGTAGCTTCTACATTGAACAGTACACACCTGGAATTTGCCTACCTCTCTTTCTCCTTTTTATGTGTTTAAAGTGTACATGATTTTATATGTGTGTGTGTGTGTGTGTGTGTGTGTATCTGAATGTATTGCAAAATGATTGCCACAAGAGCATTCTTTAACATACTCATCACCCTCACGTAGTTATGGGTGTATTGTAGAAAGCATGTATTTATTGTGTATATATATTGTTCTTTTTACTTAGAATGCCCTTTTAATGTCTTCTTGACAAAATTCTGATCATTTTCAAGACTCAGTACCATATCATTCCATTGGAGAACACCAAAAGTTGCATTTGGGAAGGATTAGGTCCACATCTACATTCCTGTAATATCTTTGTATATACTTAGGCACATTCACTAAATTGTAATTTTATTTAAATATCTGCCTATCCCATTTGAAAATAGTTCCTCAGAACACATTGCCTGTGAATACAAGTGCCTTTTTTTTTTTTTTTTTTAAAGATTTTTTTGCTTTAGTAGGGAGACCATTAGGTCAAAAGTAAAACCAACAGGTGTAGAAGGTCTCTTACAAAGCTAATTAC